GAGCTCCCATTTGGCCCAGCAATACCATTCCTGGGAACATATCCCAGAGTACAGTATAGTCGAAGTGACATCTGCACTTGTTTGTTCATTGCAGCACTCTTTACAATAGCCAGAATCTGGAAAAGACCTGAGTGTGCAAGAACAGATTAAAGAGTAACTGGTTAAAGAAATTTTGGTACGTCTACACAATGGAGTACTATGTAGCTGTTAGAAAAGATGAAGTCATGAAATTTACATTACAAGTGGTACTACATGGAAAGTATCATGTTAAGCGAAATGAATCAGAAAGAGTGGGATAGACATAGAAAGATTGCATTCATCTGGGGAAGATAAAGTAACAAAATAGGAGACCAAGATTAGTACAAGGAATTTTACTCCATAGCTTGGAGGCCAACCACACATGCTAGGGGAAAGGGGAGCTCAGATAGAGAAGGGAACACCAAATAAAGGGTGTTGGGAGGATCCTCCCAGGATGGGAGAAGCGTGTTGAAAGTAGACTATAGAAAGAACATGATTGCCACTCAATGCCTTTTTTGCAAACCACAACATCCAAAAGGAGAGAGGGAACCAAAGGGAATGCCCTGACACAGAGGCAGGGTGGGATGGGGGTTATGGGGGGTGGGAGAGATACTGGGACCTGTGGTGGTGGAAAATGGGCACTGGTGGAGGGATGCGTATTTGATCATTGTATAATTGAAACCCAAGCACAAAAATTTGTAAGTCTACAACTGTACCTCATGGTGTTTCACTAATAAAAATTAAATTAAAAAATTTTAAAAAAGAATAAATAGTGTAAGACTGATACCTCTTTAATAACTACAGTATGAATTGATATAAGGAGGAAAGATTTTATCTTTCCTGTTATTTTGACTGATATAATGAATAAATGGACATAAAACATACTAGTGAGAGAATAAATAATTTTCTATGTTCTGACATCTAACAGATAATGCGACTTATGAAAATGATAAAGTATCCAGTTTTTATATATTTTTGTTTCCATATGTAATCATGCAACTGAGTCTGGAGTCATGAAAAATCCTAAATATTTGCCTCATATGGTTCATGTAACATATTTTGTGGGTCAGGAAAACTCCTACACATTTGTTTTAAAATAAAGTTTCTATGACTTATGAAAAAATGAAAGAGTCAAAGGAACTATAGATCTAGTAGAGTTAGGGCAATTACCTTGCATGTGGCTAACCCAAGTTTGATTCCTGGCACCACATATGATCCCTTGAGAAGAACCACTAGGAGTGATCCCTGATTTCTGAGCCAGGAATGAGTTCTGACTATCACTGGGTGTCTCCCCAAACCCATTATTTAGAAATACCAAATTAGTAAAATTGAAAGTGAAAAATTACTGTAGCACTGTAGCTCTGTCTTCCTGTTGTTCATGGATTTGCTCGAGCGGGCCCAGTAATGTCTCTATTGTGAGACTTGTTGTTACTGTGTTTGGCATATGGAATATGTCATGGGTAGCTTGCCAGGCTTTGCTGTGCGGGCGAGATACTCTCGGTAGTTTGCCAGGCTCACTGAGAGGGGCCGAGAAATCGAACCAGGGCCACCTGGTTCGGCTGCATGCAAGGCAAGCGCCCTACCCACTGTTTAATAGTAGATAAAAATTTCCTGAGCAAAATAGTGAACAGGAAGATAGGCTATAAGAAAACCTCAACATTGGGCTGGAGAGATAGTACAGCTGATAAGGCATTTGCCTTGCACTCGGCCAACATGGGTTCGATTCCCAGCATCCCTTATGGTCCCCTGAGCACAGCCACGAGTAATTCCTGAGTGCAAAGCTGGTAATGACCCCTGTGCATTGCCGGTGTGATCTGGGAAGAAAAAAAAAGAAAGAAAAACTCAACATAAGACAAATATAAGGCCTAGTGAACACTTTGACCATATTTTTTACTTAGGGGCTCATTTAGAACCTCTGAATGAAAGGAGGAAGAGATTGCAACAGAAGTCCCATTGTGGGCTTCATGACCAAGCATTCTACAAAAATTTAAAAGGAAGTTAGAGTCAAGGAACACTAAAATCCCTGCTGTGACTGATTTCTCAACATTGGCAATTTTGGCAGACCTACTCTGGAAGGCAGAGCCCCCTTTCACACTAAATACTGGACCAGAAGCCTCGGGCTACCAATCCTGCCTTGCAGCTCAGACTCAGAGAGGGGGGTTTGCAGCTGTGTGAGTTGCATTCAACATGGAAAGTGCCTGAGGTCTCTAAGCCACCAGAAAACTCTTTTCCAGAGTAGAGAAGGAGCCACCACCTGGCTACCTAAGGTCAGGATGAAAGTTTCAGAAGGGAAAGCCTCTCCCTAACCTTTCTCACTCAACTTCAGTGATAAACCTCCATGGCTCACAGTTCCTCAGGATACACAAACTTGTCCTGTAGCTCAGTCCTTGCTGTGGTAGAACAGGCAGGGCTTTGAAACAGACCAGCCTCAGAAAGAACCCTCTTCTTTTACTAGAAATCCAGGCAAAATCTCCAGAGTAAGCACTCACAGCAGCAGAGACCCAGCTGGGCTTAGAAGAATGACTTGGAACCACAATTCTTGAGCTGAGAGTTAGGTCTGGTTATCAGAGGAGAGGGAATTGTGAGAGCTTTCATTCCCAAGCTGTCTCTGCCATCCATGGCAGTGATTGAAGAACACCCAAACAGACTTACCCCTCTTTTCCCAATCATCTGAAGATCTGAGAAACAAACTCTTCAAACCAAGAGCCCTAAGTATTTATTCTTACTGGAAAAACATAGCAAATGCCAAAAAAGGTTAAATGTTGTAACAGTGAATGAGAAAGAAAATGCCTCACAATCAATCATAATGACATAGAAATGGGGAGCCGAACAGACAATAAATTTTAAAATTACCATTGCGAAGAACATTAATGAGATACATTAAGTGACCTAATACAGATGAAACATAAATGAAATAAAAGAACTACAGGGGCAGAGAGAGGTCACCACCAGAGCTGGGGTATAATTCCCAGACACTGGCTATGGAAAAAATTGAAAGCCTCCATGAAAATAGTAACAAACAGGCTCAACTTTTCAAGGTGAAGAATAGATAAAATTGAAGATAAAATTCCAGTAGTGACTCAAACGGAAGACCAGAGAGAAAAGAGATTTAGGGAAATTGAAGGTACCCTCAAGAGCTATCAGACCACATGGAAAGAAAACACAAGAAAATGGGTACAAAAGAAGATAAAGAGAGGAGGAACAAATACTCACAGATTAATAAATGAGAACTACCAAACCTAAGGTAAATACTAGTTATAAAAATCATAAAAGAAACTGATGGAACCTATCCTAAATGCAAAAAGACCTACACCAAAACATAGTGTTGTGAATTTATCAAAAGTCACTAGAAAAGAAAATGTTAAAGACAGTTGGCCAAAAAATATGTAACATACAAAGGCACCCTGATTAGACGTTCATAATATTTCTCAAAAGTGCTACAGGAAAGAGTAGGATGATACACTAAAATTCTAAAATATTAAAACCTTGAAATCAAGAATATTTCACCCTGGAAATTACCATTAAAATATAATGGAGAAAACAATTTTATTAAAAATTAAAATAAACAATTTGCTGCCCTCACATGTGTTACAGGAAATGTTTAAAGTTCATAGAAAGAAAAATAGAATCTCACATATATGGTGATAAATTGTTTTTCACAAGAAGAAATATAAAAATTCATAAATGAAGAACAGTACATCCAAAGGGAAGAATAGAATAGATTTTATTTAGTCAAAAATCAATGAGTCAGTACACACACACACACACACACACACACACACACACACACAATTTAGAAACATTGATTCAAACCTCAAGCAAGCACAAAACAAAAACCAAAAATCTGACAGTCAAAGAAAAAAAGGGAAAAGATGAGATAATCACTAGAGAAAACTACTCAAGTGAAAAGACAGAAACGAACAATTCATAGAAAATGTAACACTAAAAATACAAAAAAAAAAACTGGAAAATGAAAGATAGAATGACAGTTCCACATATCAACAATAACCCTAAATGTGGATGGTCTTACCTCATCAATCAAAAGACAATCTAGAAATATTTAAAAAGAAATCTGGATTCATCTATATTGTGCACATGGAAAACTCCTATAAAATATTAGAACAAACATGAATTAAAGTGAAAGGCTGGAGTATATTTAAAGCCAAAAAAAGCAGTAACTGCTATCCTGGATAAAGAAGTTGTGGTTTATGTAACTCAATGGTGTACTATTCAGCTATTAAAAAAGGTAAAGTTATGCCTTTTGAGGAACACAGATGGAGCTGGAGCATATCATGTTAAGCCAAATAAGTCAGAAAGTGTAAGTCAGTCACCGAATGGGCTCACTTTTATGTGGAGTCCAAAGAATCGAAGCAAATGCACGAGAAAATGTAAATTAGGCTCTATGAAAAACATATAATGCACCAGAGGGAAGTTGTGAGAGGGGTTGACAGAGTGGGTGGTGGGGGTCATTATGGCAGGGGTTATTATGACATGAGAACTTTGGTGGTTTGTGATGTTGTGGTGATCTCTAAGTATATCACAATATGGTGCTGCACTCTGGGATTCTTAGACGAAAGCAATGATAGATCAGAAAACTTCGGGTTTCAAAATTTAAGGCAGAAAAAATAATGCCAGACCTCTTTTTGGTAATTTTGTCATCAGCTGCCCTATGTCATAATAAATAGTAGAGTGAGCTTTTTTCTAAATGATGCATGCTTTGTAGACAGAAGCATAAAGTTACAGGGAAGAATGAAAAGCGATGCAAAGGGTAAATATATAAGTGAATCTAAAAGAGTTTTCAAAGTGTATCATAATAATATATCGTTTTATCAAGTTTAAGAACCCATAGGACAGAAGCATCATGAAGTTATATTCTCCACTGGTCCTTGTGTTATGAACTGGTGAAAGTTAAGGATACATAGTAAAAAGTATAGTAAACAAGATAATAAAAGGAAAGTGAAATAATATAAATAATTAAAACCAAGAGGCCCTATTTAAACATCAGTCACTTCCACATAGCAGCTAGACCAAAAAAGAGATGAGAGTAATATTTTCCTCGATGGTCAGCATCCTTTGATGTAACTGATCTGTTCATATTAGGAAAAGACAGTTCCTACCTACTATATCTCAACTATAGATACAGGCCCTTATTAAAATTGACATTATTTCCAGAGACCAGCAGAAATTTTCTGTTGATAGAGACTGGCACACATTTACTAGAATGAGGCTTTTGAGAAGTTGTTTGCTGAAGCTATAGGAGTGTAGAGGGGCAGCTGGAAATGTGTTGGACATTTGTTCTGTAGCAATCCAGGAACAAGTGGCATAGGCCTTAAGAAAGCCAATGCATTGGGTCATTGCTTTGAAAAGTTTCTAGCATCATGGTCCATCAAACTTTTGATTCTGAAGGTCCACCAAACCTTTGAAGACCAAATAAAAAGGACAACATCATCATTCAGGACTTGTTCTTAGTAGTGTCAGTTGAAATTTCCAGGATGATTGAAGTTAAAGTTTCTGGTGCATAGAGCTCTCAGAAGTGAGGGAGCATGCCCATTTCAAACCTAGTTGCCCCCATGTTTCTGGGATATCTGATACTGATGAATCTGAAGATACCAGGTTGTTGCTGGAACTATGTGTTAGAACAATAATATCTGTGATTAGTGAAATTGTACTCCTCTGTTTTTATGAATATGCAATCTTGGGATAGAAGCCCTATGGGAAGGGGCAAGCTTGAAAGACAGCAAGCTTCTTGGTGAAAATGACCTTTGTTTTTAGACTAATGTTGGTACCTGGTGTGTAAATGACCTATAAAAGGCCCTGGAAGCAAGCATTTAATTAAGTTATTTAATTAACTAATACAACAAAATGAGGCAAAGAATAAAAAGTGAGAGCAAAGGGAACATGGATCATGAGGAATAAAGAAAAGATGGTAAATTTAAATCTACATACAACAGTAAGTGCGTTCAAAGAAATAATAAATACTCCAATAAAAATACAAGTATTTTCAATTGGATTTTAAGGAAAATGTTAGCTTACAGTAAACAACCAAAAAATTAAGATGCAAAAAGGTTGACAGTAAAAGGATGATGGAGATTTTTCTTATTAACAATAGCCCAAATAAAGCTGTTTTACTAAACTAATAACACACCAAGAAGACATTAAGAAAGAAGAATTATTAGAATATTTCAGAATAATAAAATGCTTAATCTTCTGGGAAAGAATGCTGCTAAATATTTTATGGCTATAATAACAAATTCTTATAATTTATAAAGTGAAACTGATAGAAACAAAATCAAGGAAAAAGCAAACCCAGAGGCTGGGGAGATGATCAAAGGGTTAGAGCTCATGTTTTACATGTGGAAGTCCAGGACTTGGTTCCTGGGAGTGATCCATGAGCAATGATCAGGAAATAGCCCTTGGGTATTGCTAGGTGTGCCCACCCCCAAACCCAAACCAAAACAGAACAAAAGACAAATCCACACATTTTAAGAAATTCTAACATACCTAATATAATCTAATTTAGAATATGTTTTATATAATTTGAGTATAATATATTTTAGTTTCTTTTAGCCATTGGTTAATAAGAAGAAGAAAATAGCTAGTAAGGATATCAAGGAATTGATGCCATGTTTGACATATTTGACTCAGTTGACACCCATAAAATGTATCCAATAACTGCAGTGGAATCCCTCAAAAACCTCAACAGATTTTCAAACATCAAGATAATAGAGAGTATGTTATCCAGCCACAGTGGCATTCATCCAAACTCAATCATGAAAAATAACTAGTAAATTCACAAATGTCTAGAAGTGAAGACATAAATACATTATCAAAGAGACCATGAATCAAAGAAGTCCCCATGGAAAAAATATCACACGGCCATAACTGCTACTACCAAGAAGGTCACTAAATACATTTCATAAATTCTCTTTTAAAATCTCTTTCTTTTGCAGTTTTAAGAAATTTTGCATCTGTGATTTTTAAAAAATGCCATGATAGAATTTTCTTTAAGAATTGATCTTAGAGTTTGTTGTATTAATCTTATAGATTGAATGGTCAACTTAGTGAGACTTTTTGAGACAAAAATGAAAAATTAGAAGCACTGAATACTGTGCTCAGGGGTACAAGTGGTATTTCTATCATCCCAAAGATCTGTCAAATGTCTTTAATCCTTTTCTTTTGTTATGTAAAATGTTACCCTGGCCTGGAAAAATCTGGCAGATGTTTAGGAGCACAGCAAGGCTCTTTCCACCATTATTTAATCAAGCATACTGTGCAAAGTAATTAAGAACTCTGCTATCTGTTTCCTCAAATATGTAGGAAAGGGATATGTAAACAAAATGAGACAGATCAGATGTGTGTGCTTTCAGAATAAGGGCAAAGATTATTTTTCAATAGAAACAGTTTTTTTAACGTGTAGAGTTTCAAAAGCTTGCCACTTCTTAGGGAACATTACATTATTAAATAATAATAATAATATCTATTAGTTATGATGGAAGCTGATGTTTTTCCTGTTTCAAGCTCTTTGATGAAGACAAGAGCCTTCCCATGTGAAAAAAACATGAAAGCCTTGTCACACTGGAGAGCTTAAGAAGCCCACCAGGCTAAAAGACATGCCATAGTTCAGTGACTGTGCGCAGAGGGCCTTACATTTCCTTTGCACATTATTGCAAATCAAGTGTCATAGATTAATTATAAAAGTTAAGTGTGTAGAGTTAAGGAGCTTGTTGATTCCTCTCACAGCCCTCCCAGTGCTTTAACTTCCAAGGCAAACCAAGGCTATCAGCAGCCGAACACTTGCTCCTATTGGAAATGCAAAATTCTACCTTAAAGTGAGGATGAAGGGGCTGTGTTGGTAATATTGTGCTCATAAAACAAACCTCATTCTTTCCCAAGTAATTGGCTTCCTGCTGACAGGAGCTCTAAAGAGATGTCTGACAAGAGTGTGAATTGGTGTGTTAGTACCTTTCATATGTATCTCTCCCCATGCCCTGCTCATATTTCTTCCTGTTAGTACACCTTTCACTTGGTAAAGATGAATTTGGATTTTTAACGTCATCTTGTATAGATTTCACAGTGATTTGTAGCTGAATAGACTTCTTGTGGATTTGTAACTAGAAAACTCATGTTAGGTACTAGGTCACAGGAACTTCTAATGTCCTGGAAGTCTGAGTAGCCCCAAACTGCCCGAGGCAGTTGCGATATTCCATTTCTGGTGTTCCTTTGTTTGCTCTGAAAGAGTCTTTCGGTTTCATAAGTAGTGGAAGATACTTTTATTTTCAGTGTAATTTGTCTATGCTGTTACAGAAAACAATTTGATTATTCTTTCAGATGGTTTACACCTTTTTTTGGAGGGGAAGTTATGGGGAAACTCGAAAGCATAGATCAGGGAACCTGGAGCTCTCTCCCTGTGTTTCTTGACCAACTTGGACCATGGTTCAAGGTGAGGACCTAATGAGGATGCCTGGTAATAATTGGGGGCTCATGCAGTGCTAAAGATCAAACCAGGGTTGGGTGCATGCAAGGCATGTACCTTCACTGCTACACTTTCTCTCCAGCCCAGATCTTCTTTAAGGATAGACTTTGGTAGCAAAACACAGTTGATCCTAAAGTGCTGAGACTGCAGTAGTTCTAAGTATCTACCTGCTTACCTCTTAGCAGGTAAATATATGAGATTAAAATCACTTTTGAGGATCATTCCCATGGGCAAGCAGCATTGGTGTTGCTGGAACTCCTTAGTTTCAGAGTTGACTCAAAGAGTGGAGGCTTCAGAATGCTTTTGCTTAAATAATGTGTGATAAAATTCAGAAATGAATCTCTGCATCTATACTTCAAATACCACTCATTATGCATTCCCTCCATGAGCTGGAATTAGTGTATGAAATTCTTTCTCTCTGAAATGAGAGAATTCCAGATGTATGTACTTTGCATCCTCTTCATTAATTAGAAAGTTCTACATTTAAAACATGTGACTATAATACATATATTTTAAATGTTTTTATTTTTAAAATGTTTCCATTGGCTGGGACCCCCACATTATAGGGTTGTCAGGATCTACGAGGCATATCCACGACACAAAGATTAAGCTCAGAACCTCACACTTTGCCTTGGTACCTTCTAAGTCACTGAACCATTTTCCTCACTAGGGATCCCTAAGAGCAGAACTACTAGGGTTGTCTCAGCATTTATGTATGTATAGTGTGAACATGGGGTAAAGTAGGATGCTCAGATTTAGAACTCATGCCCTTGCACTTTCAGGGAAAGCACTTTAAGCAAACATTAGACATCAAACAGTCCCCTGAAATGCATATTGAAGTTCATAAAAGCAGGATTGTATCACATGAAAAGCAGAGTTGGGATAGTACTGAATAAGAACACATGGGTATAATAATGGCAACACCTGGATTCTAAATCTCAGTTCCCCATTTACTTGTTATGGGACCTACTTAAAGCAAGCCACTTGATATTTCTGGATCTGTTTCCTCAAGTGTAATGGAAGGATTAAAATGAATGTTAAGAGACCTGTGAGTTTTAAAATTATGCCTAGATAACTTATCAGACTTGAATTTGTATTTTGTAAAGAACGAACATGTATGGACAGGGTTAATAAAATGCACATTTGCCAGTCTTATGGCACACTACTCCTCCATTAAAATGGAGACTTGATAGAAACAACCAATGGTGTTACCTGTACCTGTAGCTAAATGAAAACTGTACTTAAAGGGATTGGAGCCCTGGCTATGTGTGTCAAATTGCTAAGGTGGAATAAACCTTAGGAATCAGCAGTCCATCTTTCTGATTTTATAGGTTATTGTATCCTCTGATAGAAAAAGCACATTGTGTTACGGAAGAATTGCTCTAGAAAGATGACACAAATGCACACGGGCTTAGGGGTATGATTAGATATTATAATAAATGTTGTAGAGTATTACAGTAATGGCACTGATGAATCATACTTTCTATATCCATACCCTCTATTAGTCCTCTACCACACGACTCTGGGATTGACTGTGTGACTTGCTTGGCAATAGGGCATTAGCAAATATGACCTAAGCAGAGATTTAATAAGGGCTTGTTCATCAGGGCTGCTACAGCTCTTGCTGTTCTTGGGAACA